TCACAGCCCTCTCTAAGCAGTTTTACAGAGTCAGCCTCTTGCCCCCAGCAATCTGGGTCCTCGTTTTACCCACCTCGGAAGGACAGAACACTGAGTCAACCTTGAGCCTGGGGAGATTCGGACTGCCAAATTGCAGTCAGCAGAAGTAGCCTGCAGTGCTGCACTCTAACCACTGCACCACTATGGCTCAAAAAATGACTGGTGTCCATTTTACACACTGAGAAGCCCTCCAATAACCATACTTCTGTTGCATAGTAGCACAGAAGGTGTTAGCCAATTAATCCGACTGACAATCACTGCCTTGATTGTACACAAACACAGTTTCCTTTACCCGAGCTGTAAATGATATGGACATTCTAGAGGAAAAAAAAGGATCAGAGATGACATGATAGCAGTGCTGCAATATCTCAGGGGCTGCCCCAAAGAAGAGGGAGTCAAGCTATTCTCCAAAGCACCTGAGGGCAGGACAAGAAGCAATAGAGGGAAACTAATCAAGGGGAGTAGCAACCTAGAACTAAGGAGAAATTTCCTGACAGGGGAAACAATTATTCAGTGGTGATATGTGCTTCGTCACTGGAGGTTTTCAAGAAGAGACTGGATACCCACCTGTCTGAAATGGTATAGGGCAGTGGTGACTAACCTTTTTGGGCTCCTGTGCCAAAAATTGTGCGCTCACGCACTCATGTGCCAGCACCAGAAGGCAATGCGCAAGCCTCTCCCACGCTTCTTGTGTATGCACGTGCAATCCTCCTTTTACCTGCACTGCGCTTCCCAGCTGCTTTTTGGCCCACTTGAGGCCTTTTTTCGGCCTCCCAGAGGCTTGAGGAAATCTTCTGCAGGCTTTGCAGGCCAAAAAAATTGGTCCATTTTGTCACTTCTGGTATTTCCGGAAATACAGGAAGTGACGAAACGGGCCTATTTTTCGGCCTGTAAAGGCTTTCCTCAAGCCTCTGGGAGGCCGAAAAAGGCCTCAAACAGGACAAAAAACCTCAGCTATGAGGTACGCACATGCGCAGTGAGGTAAGTTTGCCTGCAGCTTGCATGCCGGCACAAATGGCTCTGCGTGCCATCTGTGACATGCGTGCCATAGGTTCGCCATCATGGGTACAGGGTCTCCTGCTTGAGCAGGGGGTTGGACTAGATGACCTCTAAGGTTCTATTCTATTCCATTCCATTCCATACTAACCAAGGAAAGAAGCAACCTAGAATTAAGGAGAATGTTCTGCTTTGGCTAAAGAACAATTAACCAGTGGAACAGCTTGCCTTCAGACATTGGGGTGCTTCACCACCGGAGGTTTTCAAGAAGAGACTGGACACCCACCTGTCTGAAATGGTACAGGGTCTCCTGGTGGAGCAGGGGGTTGGACTAGATGACCTCCAAGGTCCCTTCCAGCTCTATTCTGACGGATTGATCTTTTCTAGCTGGGCCAAAATATTGCAGAATTTGCATCTTTCACTCTAATGCATTTTCTCTAAAGAGGCATTTAAAGCCATGTGCTAATTTGCCCCTTAAAAAGTCCATAACATTCATGAGTAACGGACGGTGTGAATCAGGTTCCTCTTCCTTACCTTCGTCCAACCGGGAATAAGTAAGACGAGACTGACGGCTGTTTTCTCAAAGATCATTATGAGCAAGTAGAGAAAACATTGGCCAATCCAAGCAGCTGCCTGCGGAGGATCCCCTGGAAAAAAAAAAGAAAAATAGAATTAAACCCATGATTTATACACCCACTATATTAAGAACTCACAAATCCATGGCTTTCTTTCAACATGTGCCTCCAGGAGAATATAAGTTAACTTAGTGACTTGTGATCGTTTTTCACACTTACGACCGTTGTCGCATCCCCCCATGGCCACACGATCAAAATTCGGACGCTGGGAAACTGGCTCACAGCTATGACGGTTGCAGTGTCCCTCGAGGTCCTGTGATCCACTTTTACAACCTTCTGACAAGCAAAGTCAATGGGGAAGCTCGATTCACTTAACAACCGTGTGGCTCACTTAATAACTGCAGGGATTTGTTTAACAACTGGGGGCAAAAAAGGTCATACAATGGGGGGAAACTCTGTTAACAACAATCTTGCTGTGGTGGCGCAGTGGTTAGAGTGCAAAGTACTGCGGGCTACTTCTGCTGACTGCCCAGTGCCTGCAATTTGGCAGTTCGAATCAGGCTCAAGGTGGACTCAGCCTTCCATCCTTCAGAGGTGGATAAAATGAAGATCCAAATTGTTGGGGGCAACAGACTGACTCTGTAAACCGCTTAGAGAGGGCTGCAGGGATGGGATTCTCCTGGTTCAGACTGGTTCTATAGAACCGGTTGTTACATTTCTGCACAGTTTAGAGAACCGGCAAATCGCACCACTGGGTGGCCCCTCCCCTCCCCACCCGCCACGCCCCACCCAGTCACTCCTTACCTGGCATTCGCACGATCCAACTTGGCTATGTTGTGCCTTCCTCTAATTTTTGATAAATTGCTATTTTTCCTTGTTTCCCCCAGGTGATCAGCTGTTCTAATTATCAGCTATGCTGTATAATTTAGATTAGCTAGAAAGCAGGAAATCTTTGGATTTCTTGCTTTCTAGCTAATTTAAATCACTGTTGTACTGCTTCGCCTTCGCCCAGGAGGCTTCCCTGAGGCCCAGTTGGGGAGGTATTCAGGGGGTTGTAGGGTGGAGAAATGGCCTGAGAGCGGAGCTGAACCTTCCTTAGGACTGAAGCTTCTATTTTTGAGTGCAGACTCAGGCAGCAGATTGCCGAAAGGTAGATCTCTGAGTGATTCTGTGATTCTATGAGCAACTCAATCTGCCTGCCTGCTTTGCCTGATTTTGGGTAAAAGTTGCTCTTTTTTAATAAAAAAAATCAATATTTACATAAATATTTACAATATTTACATACAAGCCACACCCAGCCAGTCATGTGACCACCAAGCCACACCCAGTCAGCAAGCAACATCCCCAAATTAGGCCACACCCACAGAACTGGTTGTTAAGAAATTTGAATCCCACCCCTGCTGCAAAGCACCGTGAAGCGGTATGTAACTCTAAGTGCTATTGCTATTGGTTGTGTAACAACAGAAATTGCGGGCTCCTGTCGTCATATGTTGAGGCCTACCTGTACTCTGTACAAACACACAGAGCAGGAACATCTCGGTTCCAACCAAAGGCTCTATCAATAATACAGCTCATTGGTTGGGAGAAACACAGGCAAGTCAACTATGCAACCTTCTGGCTGAATATTTTGGGGGATACTATGGTGGCATGTTGTCACTTTGTACTCCTTCTGGGAATTTGGTCTAGTGGTTAAGGCCTCGGACTGGAGAGTGGGAAACCGTAAGTTCAAGTCCCACCTTAGCCAAGGTGGCTGCTTAAGTGAGTTGCATCTGATTTTACGCTGTAAGCAAATCACGGCACTTGTGACGCGCACCACATCATTGTTAAGTAAATCCAGCTTTCCTCATTGACTTTGCTGATCCAAAGCCAGCAGGGAAGGTTACAAGTGATGATCACATGACCCCTGGGACATGACAACCATCCCAAATACGTGAGAGTTACCAAGTGCCCAAATTTTGATCACGGGAAGGTAGGGATGATATGATGATTGTAACCGTAGTAACTTCAAATACATGTTAAATGAATGGTTTATGGAGTTTCACAGTCATCCAGGTGACGGTGGTCCGAAAGGTGCATTTTTTTTCAAGAGGCAACTGGACTTTGTTTTTTTCTTTGAAGACATTTCGCTTCTCATCCAAGAAGCTTCTTCAGCTCTGACTGGATGATGGGGAATGGAAGGATAGATACTCTTTGCAGAGAGCTGGTCCTTTGCATTCTTTTACAGTCATTGAGGCCACTCATAATCTATATCTATATATATAAAAGCGAAATACCCCTCATGCATCATCACAAAACCTCCAGAACCATAAAGCCTACAAACTTGAAACTTTGACCGTATGTTCCTCTTGGCTTCTAAGAAAGGATTTTTCGAAATGACCATCAGAGCATTAATATTTCTTATATTATTATTAACACTCTGATGCTAAGGAGTTCTACTTCCCCTCCCTACCTGAAAAGAAATCTCTTCCAAATGCAAAACAAAAGCAAAGGAGAGGAATTTCAGTTTTAGTTTCATAGTAGCAACCAGCTTTAGTACAGAACAGTTGAGCTAAGCCACGCCCAGGCTCCTTGCTGTCTCCTTCTTGCTCACACAGCAAATACTGTTTCAGTTTCCATGTTTCAGTTTCCAAACAGCCCTCAACTCTTCTCACACACTGACAGGACGCTAGCCAGATGAATACCGATGGATGCTGCTGGGACTGGGATGTGAAAGACAGAACTGGTCTTTTTTGTTTTTTTACACTGGTCTGAAGTCAAATGCAAGACTTTAAGGTTCAGCTGAGCGAGAGGAATTTGGTGAGGAAGAATGTCCTTTCCGAATTCAACTTTGGTGGTGGAAAGAACCTTTCGACCTCCTTAGAAAACATCCAGATGTTCTCTTTAGGGGATACAGAATGAGTCCAGATATTTCCAAACATGAGACATGCAATTTTAGAAGCATCTCTCTGGCTTCTTTAATCAAGCCTGCATCCAAAGATAGGAGTATCGGTGGAGCAGTCTGGAATCAATCCAGAAAGATCCAGTCTAGCTCTAGATTTTGGTGTCTTGAGTAAAAGATTCTTGGACAGCATTCTTCACCCATCTTCCTGGGTGAGACGGGAAGAAAACTCCCTTGGAGATGCAAAACATCCCTTTTCTTACAACACCCCCCCCCCCATCTTGCAAATATTGAAAATTGAGGACAGAAACCTCAGGAAAAGACATTCCTACATCCAGAGTTTGCAAAGGGGTGATGTAGCTCCTTGGAAATGGCTCCTTGGAAAAGAATTCCCGTTGTCTGTCACGCATGATATTTTTAGCAAATAAGCTTTCCTTCATGAAGAATGTGATGGAGAACATTCCTAGCTAATGGCGTCTTTGGACGGAGGAGGAGGAGGAGGCCATAGGTTTTAGAGTGTATTAATTTAAGATAGGTGGTCAGGTAAATTTGCAGAATCGAGAAAGAAAGGAGGGGATACAAGATATGCCAGCTAGGTTGGGGTGTTGCGATACAAACCATGCCCCCTTTTTGTGGGTGTGAAGAGGATGGCTGCACACCTCAAACAGGTTGCCTCTTGATACCTACTAGGTTATCTATTTGATCATCTCCTCGAGATATCAGCAGCAGAAGAAACCCCAACTTTACAGATCAGTGTTCCCCAACCTTCGCCATTTTAAGATGAGTGGACTTCAAGTCCCAGAATTCCTTAGTCAGCCATGCTAGCTGGGGAATCCTAGGAGTTGAAGTCCACAGGTCTTAAAGTAGCCAAGCTGGGGAAAGCTCTTACAGACTGGGAGTAAATTAGATATCTTGAATGACTTCAATGGACCCGTTCATATTTTACATATAGTTACATCTCCTGAACTGCTGAAAGTGGATTTGATTCAATACTTGAGGGGCTGCCCCACAGAAGAGGGGATCGACCTATTCTTCAAAGCACCAGAAGGCAGGACAAGAAGCAATGGATGGAAACTAATGAAGGACCAAAGCAACCTGGAATTAAGGAGAAACTTCCTAACAGTGTGGACGATTAACCAATGGAACAGCTTGCCACCAGAAGTTGTGGTGATTCATTCCTGGAGTGCTTTTCTAGGAAGCAACTGGACTTTTTTTTTTTCTTTGAAGATGTTTCGCTTCTCATCCAAGAAGCTTCTTCTGCTCTGACTGCTCGGTGGGAAATGGAAGGATTGATACTCCTTGCAGACAGAACTGGTCATTTGCATCCTTTTAGACGGTCGTTGAGGCCACTTGGAGGTTTGTCCGGGTCCTCGGGGTCACCTAAGCAATGCTCCTGGTTCCTGCAGTCTGCATTTTTCCCCCTCTGGAAATCCATTCCGACTCCCACACCATTCGAAGGGTGTCTACTCCAAATTGTATAGCTAAAAGTCTGCAGAGATTCTCAGTCATCAACAACCCTCTAAAAAGGATGCAAATGACCAGCTGCCTGCAAGGAATATAAATCCTTCCATTCTCCACCATCCAGTCAGAGCTGAAGAAACTTCTTGGATGAGAAGCAAAACATCTTCCAAAGGAAAAAAAAAACAACCCCAGAAAGTCCAGATACCTCCTGAGAAAAGCACCTTTGGGACAATCATGACCTGGAGGACTGAGAATCTCTACAGACTTCCATCACTATCCAAAAATAAGCTGGGCGACTATTTGACCAGGATGATATAAGGTCTCTTGCCTTGAGCAGGGGTTGGATTAGAAGACCTCCAAGGACCCTTCCAGCCAGGGGTGGGATTCAATTTTTTTTACTACCGGTTCTGTGGGTGTGGCTTGGTGGGCTTGGTGGCAGGGGAAGGTTACTGCAAAGTCCCCTTTCCCTCCCCACACCACTAACCTGCTTTCCAGCTCCGTTCTCCTATGCAGAGCAATCAAAGAAGACCCAGCCAATCAGCTGGGACTCGGGAGGCGAAGAATAGATGGGGGCGGGGCCAGTCAGAGGTGGGATTTGCCGGTTCTCCAAACTTCTCAAAATTTCCACTACTGGTTCTCCAGAACTGGTCAGAACCTGATGAATCCCACCTCTGATTCCAGCCCTGTGAGGTTCTATGATTCTATATAATAAACAAATAGAATAGAATAGAATAGAATAGAATAGAATAGAGTAGAGTAGAGTAGAGTAGAGTAGAGTAGAGTAGAGTAGAATAGAATAGAATAGAAATGAATAGAGTTGAGTAGAGTAAAACAGAATAGAATAGAATAGAATAGAATAGAATAGAATAGAGTAGAGTAGAGTAGAGTAGGGTAGGGTAGGGTAGGGTAGAGTAGAGTAGAGTAGAGTAGAGTAGAGTAGAGTAGAAATGACTAGAGTAGAGAAGAGTAGAGTAGAAATGAGTAGAGTATAGAGTAGAGTAGAGTAGAGTAGAGTAAAATAGAAGAGAAGAGAAGAGAAGAGAAGAGAAGAGAAGAGAAGAGAAGAGAAGAGAAGAGAATAACCGAGTTGGAAGGGACCTTGAAGGTCTTCTAGTCCAACCCCCTGGTTAATGCATGATAAATCCACACTCCAGCCCCCTCTAGTCCAAAAGGCATGGGGGGGGGCGGCGGCACGTTTTACATTAAATGCCTTTGACATCTCCTTTTTTCCCCAAATGAATCGCTTCCTTTTCTTCTCCGCTTCGTTTTTCTTTCACACTCCTTTATCTACTTCCACCTGGCACAGAAAAAAAAATAATAATCCTTGGAGGGGCACAATGGGTTAGCCCCAACCAAAAACAAACAAACCCCACAACAACCACAAAAGCTTTTAGAGGCTCCCAGCTGTTCAGCTAAGCCTTTCCAGATGTGAGTTCTGACTTGCACCAAGGTTGCAAACAGGAGGATCCACC